AGAGCATTTTTAGTCTGCATAGCTAAACAAAACAGCTGCATTTTGTAAAGACTGGAGGGATCAAACTGGCTTGATGGCTCGTTCCAGCTCTCTTAATACCCTATATTAGCTGTAATCCATCTAATCATATTGGTAATGCTAGTGTGAAGAAAGGGGTAGAGAAGAGCAAGCAGTATCTCTGTTTTTTATTGTTAGTGCAATAGCAATGCAGCAGACGGCTGGTGTCTGAGAATGAGGGCTTGGTTATATGGTCTGTCAGTAAAGTGGGGTTGATAAGCCTGGTTCACTTAAAGGTCTTTTCCAATCTAGTTTATGATTCTATGATTCATTTGTTCATTTCTCCTGGAAGAGAGTTAAGAGGGCAAGCGTACAAAGATAATCTCCCTGTTGGCCCCACGCTGCACAGGAGCCTCTGCCGCTAGCAATGATGAGTAGCAGTGGTTGAGAAGGGAGCAAGACCAAGCACATTGGGAAATAAGATGAAGTGGGCAGGCTCTGTGAGGGTTGCTCTGAACACCAAAGCTTTTTGGCCCCAGCAAACATAACAATATAACATAATGTGAGATGCAGTTTGTCCTCCCAGGGACCACCGTTCACCCTGAGAGCCTTACGGAGGGAGCTTCAGGAAGGGTAACGAAGCATTTGTGTGTGGGATGTGGAGAGAGTGAGGCTTTCCTTGAACTCTTTTGAATGGTGAGGAGGTGTGATGAAGAAGATGTGCTAGAGAAGTGGTGGTGGCCTAGGGGCACCTATCTTTGCATTTTAGTTTGATTTGGAAGCGTGGTTTCAAAGCACATCTCCCAGATGCTGCTGCTCACCCCTCCTTGTTTTGGTGTGTAGACCACAGGCTGCATCACCTGGGGGTTTGCTTGTGCTCCCAGTTTGTACCTAATGCACAGCAGGACTGCTGGGCTGGTCCAGAGTACTCTGTGCCCTGAGATCTGTATGCTGGGTCCTCAACAGCCCCCATTTTGCTCTCCAGATCTGCTTCCACTGAGCCATGCTGACTGCTAATGTAGATAAAGTGGAGAGGCAAGGGAAAAGAGTACCAGGGAGCAGTTAGGAGCTTGAACAGATTACTCTACAGGGTGGATAATTACCTTTTGGAATTGCAGAGCTAAGGAATATAAAAGAGCTCAAATCACTGATATCTTCCCAACTTCCATGGGAAGTTCTTGAATCTATACTGTAGAAGAATTGTGTTTCCAAGGTTTATGTCAAATAAATTCTCAGTGAAGGCAGGTGCAATTCCCACTCAAGTCAAAAGCAGTTAACCCTAGGAAGGGATTTCAGTAGCTGTCCTTTTTCTGCCTGCTATTCTCTGGTTTTAGCAGTTAAAGGGTTTGAGTATAGGGGAATTAGGAACAGAGGAGGTGCAGATAAACTGTGATTTGTCAGGGCTTCCTTATCCCTTAAAGCTTGAATTTTCAATGTCTCGGATGAAGATGGAGATTGGGGAAGATACTGAGAAGAAAAGGTCAGCCAAGCTCTGAGGTAGAGCTATTGCACTTATCTCTACCTTGCCTGCGGGGTGGGTGCGTGCAGTCACTAGGAGGCTGTGTGACTGGTATCACAAGTCCAGGAAAACCCTTGTGCTTATGAGGATCTCATGTTTATTTCAATGGAAACTAATTTGTGGCCTTCCTTGCAGAGGAGGAAATCTGGGAAGTTTAGGAGGTTTATCTCAAAGATGGTTCCTACAGCCTTTCTGTGCTTGCTTTAGGGGTTTTTTCTTCTGATTTTTCACTGAAGTGTTGAGGGAAGTATTGAGTGCAGAACAGCCCTGGTTTATCCAAAGGTTGGGAGCATTTCTTCCTAAGATTCAACTTTGGACTCATGCACTCTGCAGAAAGGAATGATAAATAGTAGACTTTGCATACTATTGAAAGAGCTGATTCCTGTCTCAGGTGATGCTGTAGCAGCTCTATTAGGAGCCAGTGGAATCACAAGTGTGTTAAATTGCTTTACAGCAGATCGAAATCAGGCATCGATTACATGCCTGTTACTCCATTTGAAATCTTCCAATGAAAGAACAGGGATAGGTCATAGCAAACTTCCAAATGGGGAGCTGGTGATATTTAAACAAGTGAGGTGATGCTTAATTGACTGCAACAGAATCAGAACTTAAACTCTCATGGTTTGACAGTTTCCACTATCTGCACAAATTCTCTCATGAGCCCGTATGAGAAATGAGGTTTGGATCACATTTTAAGACCTGATGCCAGTCATACCCTGTGTGCTCTCACTGAGGCAAATGTAAACCATTGTGATCTGAGAGGTGCTTTTTAACAGTACTGAGCAATGTAATTAGCTATTTAAAATACTAAACATTGCTGATGTTCTGCAGTTTGGCATAGTCACTTCTGTACACATGTAGCCTGTTCGGGGTATAATAGCTGCAGATTCCATTGGTGTTTTAGGGATGCAGTGCAAGCCAAATATGTAGGCGTCTTCTAGCCTGAATGCGAATGCAGATGAGTATGATATCTGCATTTGGGTAACAACAAGGATGCCTACCTTGTCTGGAAATTACCTAACCACGTTGACGCAAAACAGTGCTCAGGGTATCTCAGCACTATCGGTTTGTGCAGAGATGCCTACCAAATATGTGAATGTAACTCGATCAACTTGTTCTTCAGTATGTGTGTGTCCTGCTCTGACTATTGGTGATGGTGATGCATGGGGTATGCACAGTTGTATGCTCAGCATGGTGTGCATGCATGTGTTTGGACATGCATAGCCTGAATGCTGGACTAACCTTTGGAAAACTGTTGGCTTTTCTGCCTGGGAGAGGGAAAGCTGCTGGTACATCCCTTGACTGGCAAATGGCTGTGCAAAGGAGACAAGGGTGAGGGTAGTAAATGCAGAGCTCCTTATGATACACTGCATGCATTGTCCAGACTAGGACAGCTGTTTCATGGTAAAACAAATCCTGTATTGCACAGCTGAGTCTTCTTTCTGTGCAAGAAGCAGCGTTTTGAAATGTAATTAACTTCCTATGGCTCTATGGAAATGGATGGGCAATCAATAATGAATGCCAATTCAGTCACCTTGGGGCCGTGTAATTCTCTGTGTTTTGCTACACTAATGAGGAGGAAAGGGGGTGAATTATTGTGGAGTTCCTGGCTGCCACTGGAGAGATGGAGTAACCTCGGGCCTGAGTAACCTCGGGACTGAGTAACCTCAGTGATTGCAGGAGCCTGTGACTAACATCCAAGCAGAAGAGAGAAGACCTCGCATTTTATTGGTGCAGTTATACACTGAGATTTAGGCTCAGCTAATCCACGACTTTGGCTTCAGCTGAAAGAGCTTCAGAAGCTGCTCTTACCTGGTAGCTGGCATATAATAACTTAATTGCTCTTATTCACACACTCCCCCTGAGACTGAGAGTCTCTTGCAAATAGGTATTTCCTTTTGGATCCCTTGAACCCCAAGAGAGTTGTGGGTGAGAGTGGTGCATGTTGGATGGGCTCTGGTCTCTGCCTACTCCCAGAGTCACTAAGGAGAAACAGCTCAGGGAGCAGAATGCAGTTTGCTCCCATGTAACAAACCCAAACACTGTTAACTGGAGGCAATGGCAGCCCTTTGCCTATTTATTGGACTTGGAAGAGCTCATTGTGAACCATGGGAATTGAGCTGGAGTGTCTCCTTTCTCCAAGAGCAAGCTGCTTGTGTCTGAAGGTGGCATTCCTTCAGTGCTTTTGGCTGCACCATAGGAAAATGGATGGATCAGGAATAGAACCTAGGGAGTTCTGCACTCACAAGCACCCTGGGGCAACCCAGTGTTACAGACCAGTGCCACACTTTCTTTAGGAAAGCATGTGAACTCCTTCCCTTTCTGTTAGTGTGAATTGTGACTCCCAATCATCATTGCTCCTAACATAAACAGTCTCTAATATAAACCATTCCTGCTGGGTACCACAGGCAGCCTGGTGGCATGGAAAATTTGGTTGTTACATCACACTTGCCCAGAGAATTGCAGCAGTGATTGAAAGGATCGTGCAGTGGTTGGAATAGTGCTGAGTGAAAGGTGGTACACTGGCATTAGGCTCCAGAGACGGCAAACATGAAGGGGATGCAGAGCTGGCTTTGCTTTTACCTGGCCTCTATTTGTGGGCCATTGGAGGTGACGGACCCACAAACACGTGCAGCTGATATCCTGATAGCTTCTGTGCTTCACCTTGCACCTTTCTCAGCCTTACATAAACTTGATTTTTGGGGGGAAGGATGAGAGGATCTGTACAGTGCAAGACAGTTGATAGATGAAGAGTCTGAGTTAACAAAGTTAAGTTAATAATGCCTTATTGCAGTCCTCAATAGTCTGACAATCAAGGCACAATACATGGATATGTACATATATATGTTCACATATATATACACACAAGAATATATGTAAATGTGTGTTAACTGGCATTGATTAATACATTAACCATCGGTTAGCTAGTTAATGATACTGTTACTGCTCCTTAGCCTTCTTTCATTTAAAAAGAACTAAAAGAAAACAAGAATTTCTGTCAAAACTGTATGAAATCTCCATTTCGGCCAAATTCAAGAAATACAAGCATTTCAAACATCTTTACTGAATTCATTCCTCTTGTACCAGGGTTTTTTTAACAGGGGTTCCTGAAATGGCTTTACAGGCTGCTTAAGGACCGTGCAAGGATGAATAAGACTCCTCAGGTGTTATAAGGATATGTTCTTCAACGCGTACAACTCTCTGCAGTACCTCTTTGCTCTCATACCTGAAAGAAAAGCCCAATAGAAGCATTCATCAGGGCTTTATTGTCTATCAGAAGGCATGTGTAGGGTAGTTTATTTTCTCTTTGGGATGTGTTTTCTTTGCTCTGAAATTGCTGGTTAAATTCTAAAGTCAGTTTTATTGTTCAGGGTCTGCCAATGGCTCCCAGGTTCACTTGCCTGCAGCCCACCCCAACCGCAGGAGCCTTGCCTTGCCGTTGGAGAGGGAAGGGCTGTGATTGTGACTGGCTTCTCTGTTGCAGCTGCAGAAACTGAAGCGATCGCTCTCCTTCAAGACCAAAAGCTTGCGGAGTAAAAGCGCCGACAATTTCTTCCAGAGGACTAACAGCGACGTGAAGCTGCAAGTGGACTTGATGCCTGAGGTGAGCACGAGCACCGGGCAGCTCCCCAGCTCCGAGAGCCAGGCGTCCTCCCCGAGCAGAGTCCCGCAGCTGCCAGAAAACAGCAAGGCTCACATCTTCCAGGAGCACATCTTCAAGAAGCCCACCTTCTGCGACGTCTGCAACCACATGATTGTCGGTAAGGAGTGATCGGTGTTCAATCCGCGCTAGGGATCGCAGGGTGACCTTTCCGTGACTTAACGTGAGCCCGGATGTCTGCTTGAGGGTGTTCATGCCGGAAGGACCCAGACTTCTGTCACATCTGGACTGGTTAATACAAGCTCTACATCTGTTGACAGATCTCTTGCCTTGTAGGCATATAATGTTACCACAAATTACAGGTGAAGGTTTCAGCTGGAGTCAGATTCCTCTCCCATTCAGGTCATACTGAGCACCAAGCACAAATATGTTTGTATGTTACACTCGAAACAGCAGAAATGCATCTTGCAAATCTGTGTATGCTATCCTAATTCTTTTGCCCAACAGTAATGCTAACTCTCTTGCAACTTGCGTCTGCCCTCACAACCTGCATTGTGCCCAGTTTGCATTCACCTGTGGTGACCACAGATTCCAGGTAGACCTTAAACAGTATTCCAGTACATAAAGGGCTGACAAGAAACCTGGAGAAAGGCTTTGGATGAGGGCCTGTAGGGACAGGCCAAGGGGAATGGCTTTAACCTGCCAGAGGGGAGACTGAGATTTGCTCTTAGGCAGAAGCTCTTCCCTGTGAGGGTGCTGAGGCACTGGCACAGGGTGCCCAGAGAAGCTGTGGCTGCCCCATCCCTGGCAGTGTTCAAGACTATAGTGAGCCCTGCGTGTAAGGTAAGATGCTTGAAGATGCTGCAGATTATCTATGGGGCTGTGCAAGGAGAGGTCAGGAAAGCAGTGGTGGCTGGTGGTTGGAGGTGTAGAACGTGCACCGTCACCACAGTGGGAAGCTGCAGCAGTTGCTCTTCAGAAGTCTGGCCCTAGAAACTCATGTTGTTTTGGCTAGTGTGTTATGTACACGTAACTTGGTGTTACAGAAACACGGAATAGTTAGGGTTGGAAAGGACCTTAAGATCATCCAGTTGTCCCAGTACAGTAGATCTAGAATGAATTTGGTGGCAGTGTACCAGCGTGAAAGTGTGTGACACACTATCCGGGTTTTTACACAGGATAAGGAATAAAACACTAGCTTTATGCAGAAGTGGCACAGGTCTTTGAGCACAAACTATTGTCTGTAGTTTATCTAGCTTACTGTAAGAAACTCCTGTCCTTTGGCATGGAAATCGCTGCCCTTCAGATAACAGTATGATGAGTTCCTGAAAGGTGCTGGTAGGATTGCTCAACCTTTTTCAGAGAATGGTACCTTCTTTCCCACATAAGGGTGCTCAGTGTGCCCCACTTGTGTGCATGGGAAAAGGCAGATGTCTGTAGAACATTAAATCTCATGCAAGACAATCCTGCCTCCATGAAGTGAAGGATTAAAGACAAGGTTTGATTTCATCCTCTCTGCAGCACAGCTGTACTGAATCCAGGGAAACAGAGAAGCTTTGATCCCAGGTTTTTGGTGCTATTTTCCAGTCTTTTAAGCTTTTTTCTACTTTAAGTGATAGAACAAGCCAAAGGGAGAAGGAGTAAAGCATTGCTATCAGGGACGTTCGTAGACCAGGTACTGAAAGGAAGTCTGGAAGACAGAATACAGGTAGTTAGCTGAAATAACCCATTTGTGGGAGCAGGCCCAGAGCTTGTCTTCTGTAACGCGGATAGACGTTTCATCGAGGCTTAGTTTCACAAATACATGCTGCAAATATAAGTCCTTTGCATTCCTGGCAGCTTTCCATGACGTTGTATGGAGATCAGTATCATCACAGATCTGTACGACTCAGCAATACTGTTCCAAAACACTGCTGCTCAAGATGGATTAATACTGGCAGCAAACTTTGCAGGGAGTAATGCCAGCTCGTAAACACCCATGCCCTTCTCCTTTGCTGGGCAATCTGGGATAGGAAAGTCCTGAAGCATAGCTTTGAGCTTCGAAATACCAGTTTTAACCCCACCTGCCTTCTGAACTTGCTCTATTCTTTTCTATTCTCTGAGGACTTCCCTTTTCTGGTCTGTAACGTAGCTACTTCATTAGAGAAAGAAGGCTTTTATAGTTGCTGAAGAAGCTAATGCAGCCTGGTTTGCCTGGTGGCAGGCTGAGTCAGGTGAATTGCTTTCACCTCCTCCAGCTCATGTTTGGCTGGAGGTGCAGCAGAAAAGATGATGAGGGTTTTGCTTTATAATGCTTTAGACTCTAGATGGCCTGGTTCTAAATAGACATCTTCTTTCTTCCTGTAATTCTGTCCTTTTGATCCTTACTGCAGTCATGCCTGGTTTTGCTGTATTGTATTTTAAGGAGCATGGGAGGTCTGGATGTTACTGTTTGCAGCTCTGTTATAATCCGTATAGCTTTTGCAGCTGGTGGGGGAGCGGAACAGGCAGATTCCCAGGAGCTCCTGTCCAGCCTGCTCCCAAAGACAGACTGAAACAAATTCACTCCTGTGCAGGGACTCTGAATTTGCACTTGCAACATGGAGCCTCTTTGTTCTCTCTGTTTGTACTTTTCATGGGCAGTGACATTGGAGAGTAACGAGTCTATGGCTTTAAATTCCTTATTGATGAGAATAAAGGCGAAGACAGATACATGTTTTGAAGAGTAGGGGAAAGAGTCCAGGAAAATCCCAGCTGGACTTTGGATGGTTTCAGTTTTGTCACCAAGGATGTTTCCAGGTTCACCTTAAATGGCTTTCTGATCTATGAACTGAGCAGCTCTGTTTGGTACAGGGCAGCATGATGAACTGCGCGTAGCATGAACGTGCAGTACGTACTTCAGCCTCCCTGGTGTGGCAGGATCCATCTGTAGCTTCAGAGTGAGCAGAACACTGGGAGCAGAGGCAGCAGGCTCCTTGGGCTGCTCTTTTCAAGGCAAAATTAAAGCAAAGGGATGTGACACGTTATCTTCCTACAAAAAAATACGTGCATCATCTCTCCTTGATTGTTAGGCACTAAGAGCCAAGTGTTGCCTTTGGGATGCAGCGCGTGTTCGTTTGACAGTAGAGTCATCAGATAATGGCCAAGTACATGTAATCGATTTCAGCGTTCAGAGGAAGAGGTTTACTAGGATCAGTGTAATGCAAACATACTCATTCACGTGCTTTTCATGCATCCCAGAGTGCAGTGCAGCATACTCAAAAGAAACTCTGTTGTTTTGAATTCAAAAGGGAAAAGGCAGTATTACAAGTGTGCTTCATACCTCACCTTAAAGACAGGAGTTGAAGTGTTCCTACTGGCTGTACGAGACTGGGGAAGGTGCCACCTCAGTAAATAGAAGGAGAATGTGACATAGAAGCAGTAGTTTTCTGCCAAGTAACGTAAGGGAGAAAACTTCAGATGCAGGGGGAGTTCTGAGGAGTGCATGGCAGATCTATTTTGCATTAATGGAGCCTTCTTGCAGCATCAAATGCTGCAGTACAGTTGCCAGTTCTAATACTGAAATCAGCAGTAATAATTCACTTAATTTCAGAGCAAATCAACAGTATGCTGGAGCAGACCCTCCTCCTTCCTGCCCCTCACTGTTCTGCTGCTGTGAGTTCCAAGCATTGGTTAGTTTAGGACTGAGGTTTCAGCTCCATGGTGGGCTGCATCTTTTCCTAACTGCATCGACCCAGGAACATTCTTCACAGTAAGACTCTTAGACATCCATTTATTTGCTGTTCTTACTACTAGTATTTAGCACTCTTTTAATAACCCCCACAAGGGAAAAGGTTGAAAATCAAAGTACCTTGTGGAATGTATCACCAGATCATTATTTAGAAGACATTGGTTTGCTTACTTTACATCACTGAAAAGAAAATCAAACCCCTTTGAGTTGGCTTTGTGTTGCCTACCATCCTCTGTGTTTAGCAAGAATGTGGCAAGCTTTGGCAATGCCCATAAGGGTAGGCAAAACTGCCTGGCACCGGCAAAGATAGGAGCTGTTCATGTTGCATCAGGTTAGAGTCTTCAACTATGCTGATCAGAAGTGAGTTCTTGCTCTTCTTCAGTCCCTGGTGTGTCATCGCTCGTCTCTGTGATACTCTTGAGGAAAACATGATGTCAGTGCTCTACTCTTGAACAGCATTGTGTGTTTAAAAACCCTCCATCTGTAGACTTCTCAACATTTTACTCACTTGCAGTTCATTTCCTGTGCTGACTCACATGGAAAAAATGTTCTTTTCCACACATTCCAAGCATATTACATGCAATTAACGTATTCCCATCTAAGTCAGATATAAGTAGTGTAGCAAAAAATAAGTCTCTTTGCTTTTAAAAATAGCTGACTTTAAAGTGAAACCTTTAAAGCTGTGTTTTAACGAAATAGAAGCTTATTTATAACAACACTGGTGTTTCAGAAGCATACTTAGCAGTTTCCTTCCCTGCTCAACCTTAACTCGGATGCGGAATTTTCACCAACTACTCTTTTTAGTGACACCTGGAAAAGACAATGCTAGAGGGCCACAAACTTTCAGGAAGACCCAACAAGGCTGTGGTCTGGAATGTCCAGTAATAGTCAAACCCAGGTTCTTCTGGATCATGCTATCACTAGCTTATGTACCTGAGATAGACTCATCTATAGGTGGTCTCTGGGCAATAGAGTTTCTGGTCTGGATGCAGATTCTCCAGACCTTTGCAGCTATGGAGGTAAAGAACTCAGTACCTGCCTTCTCAGGGAAGTAGCTAGGTTCCAGTCAGAAGCATGTAGAAAACAAAACAGATTGTAAAGAAGCAATACCAATAATAAACCTCTAATGCAGTTTACTTCCAGTCTACTCATGAGCAGTGCTTAAGCAGTGAAATTGTGATACCCCTTTAGTGTTGACTGGCTCCTGCCACTGCCTGTTCTGGTTTAGCTGCCAGCAAAGTGCCATGTGGCCATTCTTTCTGGCCATTTCGTCTAGAAGCAGCCTTTATTCCTTTATTTCACTGTGTTACTGTGGTTACTAGAACATTGTCATCCGCAGGGCTGTAATGCAACATCCTCCATAAAGCTAGGATCAAAGTTGATAAGTTGGCCCAGCTTTTCAAACGCAGGAGTGAATGAGAGAGGGAGAGATCTCAATCGGAGCTATGGTC